ACCCAGAGCTTACTAGTTAACATCACGTGCGACTTTTGGAGCCATCCAGAAGTTTCTGGTTAGGTCCTGATCTAATCCTGACCGAAATGCATTCGCGTATCTTGGACATTTATCTTGCTCTCAGCAGTAGATGCTGTCAAAGGAAGCCTGGACGGAAATTCCATGCTCGTGATGTTACTGGGACACTCCCACACGCTGGGAGTAGTAACTGTGCCAGGCCTCTCGATCTTGAACTGCATATGTTTTAGTTAAGCTGTGCGATATAAACTGAGCTATGAAAACTAATCCTAATTTTTGTGCATGCTGGGAAAGTTTTTAAGTGAAAGAAGCCGAATTCGCGGTTTTCGTTATCTTTAATGAGTTTTCCGACAATAATTATTGTGCACGACCATTTCCCGCATGATCCAGCGCACAACCTCACAACGTGCCTTTAGTAAGTAACAGCGGAAACGTGTATGTTCATGCCACCCACCACTCCAGTGCGTTGTTAGTTTATTTTTGAAAATTTTTTTCTGTATTATACGTTTGGTTAATGAATGTATTATATCAGGCTTCTCACGAAGCCTCCGTTTTCCACAGCAGTAGACTGTGAAGTTTCGGACGTAATTTTGATATTCTGTGTCGCAAAGCTCTCGTCGTGGTAATTATCTTTGTATTCCAGGAGATCGCGAAGTGGCCCAGTTTTCCTGCGGGGCTGGGAATTGTTGCTGAATTTCAGGAAAGTTTAAAAGCACCTCATTTTAATATTTAGTGTTTTCAGTTGCACTATGAACACAAAGTTTAAATTAATGACATATGTCAAAAAAATCCAGACCACGAAAGCAATCAGCCCGAATATCCATGCTAGCGATGTCAGTTGGATGCTCCCACATGTCCCAGGCCCCGGTGCGATCATGCGCTTTTGCTCTAAACTTGAAGTAGTTAGGTCGTTAACTATATGAATGCATCTTGCTTTACACTTATCTTGTACTCTCCATAAAAGGAAGTGAACAATTTCCGTCAAACGATTATCCTTTGTAAATGAACTAGTTGTTCAATGAGCAATTTTCTCGCTAAAGCGTTTGAAGCATAAGGGTTGAATTCGAAATCTTTAACTTGTATGTGAATAGGGAACATCTCCTTAAAATTTCAGCCTCTTAGCTTTTTTGGTTGGCAGTTTTCTCGCCAGAATTTGAGCATGCGAGGCTGAGATGTGCGCGAGGGTTGGCATCGCGGCCTTGGAGTAGCACTTGGCCGGGAAACTCACTGGCAAAATTTCAGTACAGAATTTTGCTTAGCTACCGAATTGAACCCATAAACAGCACCATTTAAAAAAGACATAAAACCACATACATTTTGCATAACAAAACATTGCTACAAAGCAGGATACATCAATGATATACCTACACAAGCCAGTGAGGCAGAAGCAGTTCGTTCAAGCCACTTAGTGCAAAAACGAATAATCGTATTAAACCATTTGATGTGCGCTACGAATGATTATAAATTAATCACTTCAAATCCGATCCCAGCAGTGCAGCTTTTTCGAGATAAGCCTCGAATTTGGATTATTAAACCAATTTATAGAAGCATAGTTGGGATGTTTTAAAGTCAGGCTATTTTCACCACTTTTTTGCGATGAATTGGACAACTGCCTGATCGGCAGTGTTTACTTTTTCCACTCCCGGACCTTGTGTGTTGTCGGTATACTAGGAACATAGTCCCCACCTGGATACTTCTGGCCCCGCCTTGTGCGGTTTGTGATCATCTGCCATGCTAATTCTAATAAATTCACTGCTATGCCACATGGCATTTCAAAAAATACCGGAGCTCCTAAAGCCGTTCGTGATCACTTCCCACTGGCCGGGATGTATTTCATCAAGTGTGATGAAGCAGCCCGGTACATGAAGTGAAGATATCAACAATGTCCAGTGGATTATAGAGAAACGTAAATTTTTTCTTCGTTGTTCTATCTCTAAGATCACATTGCAACATAAAATTTGGAATTGGGATTGCTGTACAGTAGTATGGCACCGCTCTTCTCCCAGCTGACCAAACAAACATTGTAGCACGTTCTATCGGTCAGGAGCTGAGAGAGTACTATGTAGAGTCGATTAACCAAAGTGCCACATGGGTACGGAGAGCGATAGGCAGCCTGATTTTTCGCAATAAAAGTCGAACTCATAATAACAGTGGAAAAAAATCGTGATAATAATGGAAATCGCACAAAAATAACAATAGGAAGACTGCTCGGACTGTTACTAGGATGCTCCCACATGCCGGGCACAGCTCTGCGAAAACCTTCGATCCTCGGTTGCGTCTTCTACTCGATGTACGCTTGGGTATTAACAGACGAATACACTATTTAATGCAGCGAAAGTTCCGAAAAAATGTATATGATTTGTTGAATAATCTGTGTTTCGGATGCTTTTCGTAGGATTTACGAGATTTTGCAAATAACCGTGACTAAAAAGTGGCCTTTTGTATTCTAAAATGCTGGAAATTTTTTTCAGAAAATTTCCTGAAAAAGCCACCTTTCTGTTGATTTGTATGTAAAAAAGTCTTAAGCATATGAACCATTTGGGTCTCTTTTGTAATTCTTTCCTAAGTGATCTACATTTCTTAAATGTTGTTATTATTGAGTTTCTCTATTCACATTTATTATCGAAATCAACACATTTATTTTGTACTAAATCTTCAGCACTGATCAAGCAATTACAAATGATAACAAAACAAAATTCACACCGGAAGATTAGTTAATACTGGATTGATTAAACAGCAAATATCAGTATATTTAATACTTAGGAATACTATTTAAATACCATGCTTTTGGGAAGTGCAAAGATACCGTCGACCTTCGGGGAGTTAGAAGCGGCATCAATTTCATCTTTTGAAAAGGCATTTCGTCCGGAATACTGTTTCGTCTCTTATATCAAAGACAAATGACGAGCGGTTGTGAAAAATGAACTGGCAAAAAAAAGGAGACAAAAAGGCCATTTTTCCACTCATAAAAAATTCTCTGGGCTCTTTGTCGTCAAATACGAAAATATCAAAATCTTTGGACTATCAGTGTAGATATACCATTCAGTGATGTTTTCGAGCTATATGCGCACCAGGAGCAACTATTCCAAACTCCTCGATCCTGGGTTGCATATTTGCGGTTCATAGCCACAAGTTATAACAAAATAAATATTTTGTTTTTTACACCAGAACGGTGTCAGTGAGCCAGAAGTGACCAACTAAATGTTTGTGCGAAGTTCTACGAACGCAGTGAACTCAGAACCGAAAGAGCTTCTGCATCCATGGCGAATTAGAACAAGACGAAGAAACAATACAGCTGATCAGAGCTCAGTTATAACGCGGGCAAACACAATTCAACGAAAAAAATACAAAATGCCCTATTTTTCATTGTCCAGCTCTGACTGACAAATTAAGTGGACCTTGTTCAAAATCGAAGTAAAGTCATAATTTGTCATTAATACGCGTAACGCAAAAAAAAAATTTGACAATCGTGAAAATTAATATGCCCAAAAACAAAGGTTGCTCTCGGAAATTCAGAATAAGACCAACAGATTTGTCAGTGATTTTTTGAACCTTATCCAAAAATTTAGCTCTCGTGCTGGTGCTTCTTACAATTGCTAAACAGTAATACAACAAATTGGTAAAAAAGGATCCTGGCTCCTAAACAGATTCTAAGCCGCTATCGTCATGCCGCTCGGCACCGAACGACGAACTTGGTGAAGTTTTTCTGATATCAGGTCGTGCCAGCGCCGTGACATCGGAGACTGGTCCAATCAATGAGGGCGGCATTGCGGTAAAGCTGCCTTTGCTACTTAAATTTCGGTAAGGTGGTCGTCGATATGTTGTTGAAACTTGCTCCCACGGAACATCGTACCTAAAAGCATCGTGCAAACAGTCATAATTTTGTGGATTTAGATCAAAATGATATTTTATGATAAAAAATATCACTGTTGCGTGCAAGCTGCCCGTCTGCATAGTTGCAGTTACTGTTGTTTTTACTACTAACCACCTTTGTTCACTTAAAACTGGTGGTTTCTAGAGAAAATGCGCATCACGTACGGAGACGTTAAAGTTTTGGCGGAGAAAATCATTATCTTGGAGGCCATCAGAACTAGGAAGCTGAAATTTTAAGAGAATGTCTCTTGCCCTCATACGATCCCGACACTTCAAATGCAGCTTTCATGTGCTCCTGGATCTTACGCATAGTCCGTGGAAGTTTTGCGAGAAAATTATTCGCTCAAAAACTGGAGGTGCTAAAAGACTGGAAACTTCAGAAGGATCTTTTCTGCTTCTGCAGGGAACACACAAACTTAAATTTAGCCTCAAAGCACACCAGCTTTAGCGTAAAAGCCACTAACTCGGAAGCCAAAAAACTAGGAGAATAAAATTTTGGCAGAATGTTCACCGCCACGGTTCAAAATTTTTAACGTATAATTTCGCAGCTAGGAACGAAACAACAGGTCAACTATTTTTGCACAGCCCAGAATGTAAAGCAGTGAAAATCCTTAGCAGGCAAACGATCGCTGGATAGAATTGCGCAAAGTGCGACTATCCTGACGCTCGTCGTTGCGTACTCTCAAATTGGATAAATAACCGATACGCATGCTTGCTACAGCACCGAAATGTCTTAAGATCACAATTATGATTACATATTTTTAATTAATGAATGGGAAGTCAGGAACGGATTGTAGGACTGAAAGACTTTGGATAATATCACTATAGCATGTAGTACCTCATACAGACTCATGGTGATCCTAGTACAGGAATGATAGAGTGAGTACCTTGTATCTTCGGGGCAAGCATGCAACGTATGTATTGTATTGAGCGGTTCGGAATGCAAGCGCTGCTTGGATGTGCACACTTTCAAGCGCCGCTTTTGATGTAGAAAGGCAATAAAGAGGCAAGCGAATCCGGTTGTCAGTACAGCAGTAAATGCTGATAGTATCAGCAGCGCATAAATGAAGTGATCATTACCATTGATACGATGCAATAAATCGTTGCTCGTTTCTGGATCCGTGTACTGAAAACCAGTACTAAAAAACAAAACCATACGAAGAAAAAACACACCAGATTAGAAATATGCGTCAAATTTGTCAGGTCCAAATTACATCATAAGTGAAATGATGAGGACGAGACAGCTTCTTTCATGCACATTTACTTTATGCGTTTTGCATAATATGCAAAAACACACCATAAAAACAGAAGAGCGTCACTCCTGAAATTCCTTATTCGTACGAAGACCCATGTCTTTTAGACTTCAGCTACCACCATTAAAGTTATACAGAATGTAAAATTTTATCAAAAAGCTGATCAGCTTCTTATTACAAAACATTTTTTCTGGCCTACACTGGTAATATCGCTCTTTTTCTTTTTTACTCGCCATTAGTCCTATTTATTTTCGGTTTCTTCTCTTTCTCTCTCTTTTCTATTGAAAGTACTATAGC